CCAGCTCTGTATGCATCAATAAATAAATCTTAAAAAAAAAAGACTTCTCAAATTTTGATTTTTTTTTGATCCATTAAAAAACAAAAAATCAATTAGGAGTGTACACTGTATAAACATATGGCTCAAAGGAGTTAAAACAAGAAAGGGACCCAAAGCATCATCACTATTACAGAAACCTTGATAAGGTCAGGAGACTTACCAAGTTACCAATCCCCAGAGAAGCCCCAAGGCAAAAAAAAAAAAAATGGGGAGAGAGGAAAAACACAACATGAGTCCACAGGGAACTAAAACCACCACAGAAAGAAAACAAACATCCAGAACCCAGCTTCAGAGGCATGAAAGATAAGGTCTTCCAGAGAGAGTTTAAATTGCCATGATAGAGCATTCTGAGTAAATGAAAGAATACTGAGAAAACTCATAAAACAAACTTACGTCCTTGGAAATAATTTCAGCAAACAGGAGATAAAAATGGAAGCTGTGTATAAGAAAACAATGGAGAGTCAGGACATAAAGAGAGAACTTGAGGAAATGAAAACTTTGGGAGAATACTCTGGAAGAATAGCCCAAACAGGAGAACAAATGAGTGTTCTTAAAGATGTGCATGAGCAAAAAATACAGATATAAAGGAAATAGAAAATAAATATAAAAACAATTTAAAAACTGAAAATTATCTGACTCTAACAGGAAAGGCAATATGAGTATTATGGATATAGCAGACTGGGGAAGAGAGAGTAAAAGCAACAAGAAAAAATATATTTAGAGAAATAACAGAGGAAAACTTTCAAATTTTAGAAAAGAGATTAAGTGTAAATTTAGTAATCTAAAAGAACCACAGGAACAAAATGAGACCAGCAATAAGACATACAGTAATGAAGCTTCAAGAATTCAAGAGAAAGAAAAGACATCACAGTTGGCCAGGGGGGAAGAGCAGGTAACATAAAAAGGCACCCTATCGGTTAACAATGGACTTCTCTGAAGAAATACTGTGGGCAAGGAGAGAATAGGATGATGTATCCCAAATTCTTAAAGAGAAAAACTGTCAGCCAAGAATCTTTCACCTGACAAGGTTCTCCTTCAGATAAAAGGGAGAAAAAAGGCCTTCTCAAAGATGAAGGAGAATGCAAAATCTAAAGCGTCGCCTCCAAAAAATATTGAAAGAAAGGAGCATTCTTCACCAGAGACAGAGCGGGGAGCAGAACAGGCAGATCGACGAAGCCCACTGCTGAGGGGAGCAGCGGGCGGGTCAGGAGAGGTCTGCCGCGCCCTGGGGTCACCTCCGCGGTAGGGATCAAACCTGCACTGAAGCGGCTGCAGCTGGCTCGCAGTGCTGTGCCCCAACCCGTTGCACCACCAGGGAGAGCCCAAGAGGGTTTTGATATTTAAAAAAAAAGAAGTATTCAAAGGAAAAGGAGCCTTATCGGATCATACGCTGGATTTGTTCTTACAAAATGACCTTCTTGAGCAAGCAATGATCTCAAGTCTGTGGTTAGCAATAGGTCAGTGGTCCAAATTTTCTCATATAGTGTGTGATAACAGTGAAAGATCTGGTGTATCTGAGGACCTGGAAACTGTAAGATTTTCAAGGGAGATAATTTATGTCACATTTAAGGGAGATAGCAATAGTCTCCAAAGAATTTTTTTGCTTCAAAACAGAAAAACCACCAAGAAGAGCTATAGCTGAACAGTGTAATCTACCAAGATGCAAGCAACACCACTATTCATGTGTTTTCCTTTGGTAGCTTCAGAACTGCTCTAACCTAGGACTCTATATGAGATTTAAACAAACAAACAAAAAGTAAAAGTAAGAGTAACTATCAAAGAATAAGAAGTTGATAGTTCCTGGATCCCCACATTACTAACAGAACTGGGGGAAACCATGAGCAATGCCATCGTTAGAGGTCAACTAATGCCAGGGAACTCTCTGGGCTCCGGGCTCTGTCCTTATCTAGAGCCACAGCACTGCCACTGCTGCCGCAGAGACACACCTGCAGGCGTCAGGGGCCTGCTCTCTGCGGCTCTACAACGCCGGGTCTAGCTCTCTTCAGAGACTACGGAATTCACCACCGTCACTGGCTGCTGGATTATTCAGCGTGGATGGTACACTTGTTGCTTAGGTCTTGTTTTTGTATGCCCCCTCTAGTTATTTTTATTACAGCAACATGGACCGTTTTCCACAAAGTGCAAAATACACCGAAAGGCTGTCCTACATCTCTGAATCATACATGGCTTCCTGGGATGACCTTCCTGGAATGTCACCTGTTATGACTTACAAGTGAAGCTTGCCTATACATTCACCTCCCTGCCTCCATTCTCCGTCATATTATTTGTGTTTATTTCCTTCATAGTGCTTATTAGACACTGATATAAATTCACTGCCTGTGCTTCTATTTGTTTCTTTTTGATGTTTCCTCATCATGACTAGAACATAAATTGCAAAAGAGCACCCTGCCTCACCTAATAAAGGAGGGAGGAGGAGCTGAAGCAGAGCTGGAAAGGAGGCTTGAAGGAGGCATCCGGAGCAGAGAGACATGTGAAATAGGCCTGCTGCCTCCCTGCTGTGGACGTCTCCCGGGACACGGGCACGTGGGAGACACACGGAGCCTGGCCGTGCAGAGACACTTGGAAGAGACCCCCAGGGAGGCTGGTAACAGCCGCCTTCGCCTATTGGTAGGTTGGTACTTTGGTCTTGTTCCTGTCATCCCACACTTGCCTGGCATCTTCTGTCACTTTCCGATGATTCCCCACCGGAAGGCACCTTAGGCTTGTGGCAAGAGCTTAGACCTCCGGGGCCTTGCTTTGCGTGGTCTCTGTTTGGTTGGGCCTCTACCCACAAAGAAAGGGGTAACTTTGGGTCTTTTATTGGAAGGGATTATCCTTTCTTCTCTTCTCTCTTTCTATGTACACTATTATATTATAGTTCTTTCACAGTAAAATTATACTTTGTCTTTATGCAGCAGATGGCAGACCCACTTTAGAGTTGCAAGTCTGGGGGTTCTGGGGTAACCTCAGTCCACACTCTAACAAGAATGCCACTCATGTTGATTCCCACTGGTTGATCTGTCTCCAAGGACACCAGTTCTCAAAAGAACTGTTGGCTAGAAATCCTCCCAGCTGTAATTTTCTAGAAATCAGCAGAGAACTAATTATCAGAAACTGGTCTCCCAACAGATAAGTGTACACCTTTCCATTTCACAATAACACCTCAATCTACATAACTCCCTATACTGTCAGCTCTTTGCGGTTTCAGAGAAAGTCCTTGACACACATATACAATGAGTGCGCAGTTATGTTAATAAGCTTGCCATTTAGGTCCATGAAATGTTTCTTTGAAGAGAACCTTTAATTGCATATTTGCTTCGTGCTCAGTTTGTTGGAGTAGGTAGAGGATAGGGCCAATGAAGACAGTGAGGAGAAAATGTAATCACATAAAATTAAACGAAAGGCACTCCTGACCCTGAGTCACTGTCCCACGCCACAGTAAAGAATTTTCTAGAACTGTTGTTTGCTTTTCACTTTATGGCACATTCGGCTGCTTCCAAAATGACAGGGCTGGGAAGATTTATTAGTTCCTCTAACAAGAAAATGGTGTCAGGTAAGAAGAGGAAGCAGCTAGTTTGGTGATGAAATGAAAAAAAAAAAAAAAGGACTAAGATTTACCCCACTTTTTTAGCTTATTCTAATTCCACAGTAAATAACTGATAAGATTGTCTACTTCTGAACTGGAGACAAGGAAAATGCAGTCATTTGGAACAGTTTTAATAGAAAAGCAAACATTAGAAAAAAGCTAGTGCTTGCCATTATTCACATATTTAGTTTAATTCCCATTTGCAAATTGATATATGGTCTTTAAAACAGTCCCACAACATTTTTAGCCTACCACAATTTTCAGTAATGGTCTCTAAAACAACACACTCCTGTCTCAAAAAAAAAAGGGGGGGAGGAGGGAGATATTAACATCTGATTCATTCCAAAGAAGAAAACGATTTCCCAATGGTGATGATCTGTCATGTTATTTTTTTTTAAAGGAGAACTAAACGTCAAGAAGGAATCTTCACAAGTCACAACACCAAAGGGTGAGTCTTGTTTTACACGAAAAGTATCAAAAGATTCCACAACAGGCCTATATTTATATTTTACTATTTTCTACCACATCCCATCTCAGTGCTCAGACTCACTGACTTTCAAAATTCATTATTATTTCACTTCTGGATCAATACACTCTACACTGAAGAGGACTAATGAGAGAAAGCGTATAGGTGGAAGCAATGAAACAAAGGTAAATAACCCCTACAGACAAGACCCAGTATTTTGCCCCACAAATATGGGGCTCCCCACAAGGAAATCACGTAGTCTATTTTCTTATGAGAAATTCGAATACACACGGGAATTCTTCTATGTCTGGATTTTAGATGCACACTCATCACAACCAAGGCCACACATGTGTCACATACCTGAGAAAGATTAGCCACACTCTGGCTTGAAAATGATAATCCAGCTGTGCTGTTATTCGTTATGAATTATGAATAAGCCTTTTGAGTTACTGTTCCGCAGTATTAACTCTCTTGGTGAATGGGAGCTGGGGGAGAAAGCAGACAATGCTGCTTCATGTCAATATTTAGCACACACGTGAGTCACGCATGCCCTGCAATCGCATTCTAGGCCTACGAAAGCCTACGGCCCACTGAGAAGGAAACGGTTGCCTGCGGGCTGCTTCTGCTGAACGTCAATGTCAGCAACGTCAGAATACCGACTCAGAATTGCACACTCATGCCCTGTCGAAGGAGACCAGAAAGCTGTCTCACGCGGTCATGTTAAGAAGTGGCGTGGCAAGTCAGAAAAAGGGGCGCATAGAGCAGACATTCCGAGCTAGCGAGCGGCTGGGGGAGGAGGGCTCGGGTCACATGTTGTTTTTTAAATTATGGGGCGACTGGGCATCCACACACCACATCTGCTAGTTCCGCTGCAATCTGCCTCACAGACGAATGAATCATTCTACTTACATCAAACGGAGCTGAACTCGGTTGGGTGTTCTGAGTACATGGTTCCCTGAAGCAGTCACTGAACGGGAGCAGGAGACCCATAGCAATGATCCTTGAGCAAAACTTCTCTGCTTCTTCTGGAGGCCCGTTCTCTTGCTGGCTGAACAGCTTCTCCAGTAACGTTCTCCCTGCAGACGAAACACGCTTATTAGAAGTGAGCACTGGCAGGTGACTTGGCTCGGAATTCTCCCAGAGGAGAGGCTGCTTAACACAGCCCGTGAGCAGTACTGTTGCCGGGGCGACTAACGTGTGCAAAGGCCTCTCAAACGAGGAGAAAACTCTGCAGTTCACCACCTCGGATACGACAGAGGAAAGCTTGGGTCTGTTTGCTCTTCCATGCCCCATCATACCTCCTACCCCAAAAAGGAATGTGCCAGGTATAACCCTCTTCCATCTAAAGGCACTCAGCAGAGTCTTGGGTACACTGGGTAACCCTCCTGCTCTCTGTTTACCCTGCTGAGAGCTCTCTGAGGAAGCTGTTACCAACCGCCACTTGGGCTAGGAAATGCCGTCAGCGGACGTTTCTAGTCTCGGCCATGTCAACAGAGAATGGGAAGATAGGTGGGCAAAGGCACCCCACATGAAGTGAAGAGGTGACCAGCGCAGAGTCACCGTTCTGAAGAGGAAAGTGAGAGAAACTCAAGCTCTTCTCATAGGCTTCTTGAACCAAAATACTAGGGTAGGTCTGAACCTGTTGCTTTAGCATTACGCTAATAAGGGAGAGCCCGAGAGACCGAGGCACCAGAGAACAGTAGCTGAGGACTCTTGAGGAGAAGTGGGGGGGAGGAGGGCGGGAACGGCTGAACTTCGGACTTCGCTGGGGAGACCAGAATGACAGTATGATGTCAGTAATTTTTGTCATCAATTGATTTTAACGTTAGCCATAGTGAACATCACAGGCGCAGTCCCTAGGCCCCTCCCGCTAATACGACTCTCTAAGTTATCACTTTTAGTTTATTTAGCTCGTTTCTGTGGTAATCAACACCACAGACAAAATAGAGCTAAGGGCCTTTCCAGGGCTGCAGCTGCGCTCAATTCTTACTTTGCTCCTGCCCGTCCTTCTGTTTAGTGGATTCCTTCTTCAAATTTATATCAAAATCGCTGACCCAGAATAGCCCCCACACGTTGAGAACAGCCCCTCCACCTCTGAGTAGCGCCACCCTCCCATACTTTCATTCCCTTCATCATTCCTCTGCTTTAATTAAATATTGTGCAATTATTTGTTCAATACCTGTCTCCCTCACTAAAATATAAACTCTGACAGCTAGCATATATCCTGCAAACTTGGAAACTTGCAGATAGGAAGCAGAAGAAAATACTTTTAAGATTTCTGAATGAATGTAAATGCCATGGTCTGCCAAAGACTCGTTCACATCGTAGTCAGAGCTGGAAATATAAGTTGATTCCAGAGGTTAGCAGACATTTTTCTATAAAGAGTCAAATAGTAAATCTTTTAGACTCTGAAGACCACACAAGGCCTCTTGGATTTGCTTTTGCAAATCAAAAAAAAAGTATTCATTGTTCAGGATTATGTGAAAACAGGCCCGAGACTATACAATTCCAGAAACTCAGTTTCAAATATACAGTAGTAACACAATATTTGAGCCTCTATTTTTATTTGGAAAATAAAACAAAACTAATTACAAAATCTACATGTGATATGTAGGGTCAGAGCAAAAGAGACCTCTCTATCTGCACTACTTATTCAGGTCATTAGAGAACATTCTTTGGCCTCCCAAGTCATTTGGGGGGGAAATAAAGAATTTTTTCAGCTATAGAACTTAAATATACTTGCACCTGACTGGAAAAAAACACCTAGGGAACCACATCCCTCCATTCTCAAGTGATTAATTATCATTACAGTACTTATTTTATATATCTTATGGTATGACTAGGGAAAAAGCCATAAAGCTAATTAGTTCCTTCATGTAACTGATGTTGATTATGACAGGAAATAAAAGAGAAAGAATCACTGAGTGAGTAGGAGTGAGTCTGAGCTGGTAGTTGTGTATGTGACTAGCAAATCAAAAAATATCAAAGGGTTTCTGAAGTAAGATGGAAGAGAGGGAAGTATAAACCCCTGGAACTTCAGTTCCATGATAAGCAAATACCCTGAAACCCCAAATTCAAATCTCTCAACACCCCACAGAGTCACCCTGTTCGGGGGTGTTCAGTGGGTGCTGGTAGCGTTACTCACTAGATGCCACAGCACAACCACCCCACCTCCAGCTGTTAAGAATCAAAATGTATCTAGCCCTTTGTCAAAACATTTGTATTTGGGGTAACAAACTCTCTCTAGGTCAAGAGCATCTGTTTTAGCCTCTCTAAAGGAAACTTTGGCTCCTTACAATAACAGTAACCTGGCTGGCCCTTGAGTCTTCTTATCATATTCCTCTCAAGTAGGGACATTTTATGTCAAATTCCACCTGTCCAAGGTACAGGAAGTAGATGTATCTTCCTTGATCCCTTTGAGCTCTTTCAAATGGTATCTTCTCTAACTCACCAGCTCCCTTAAAACTCACACCACTGGCGAGGCCACCTGCCATTCTCTGCCATCCACCATCCTCTTGCAGTTCTCCTCTGACTCGTCATTAAATACTGTCCTAATTTCCACTTTTATTCCTATCAATTTGATGAAAGCACAATTTGCTCACAATTACCCATCAGTTTGCTCCTTGTATTTCTCTTCCTTCATCCCTATTTGACATCCACATGGGGGTGAAATCAACACTTCAAGAGGTGAGTCACTTGAGGCCAGTTCCTTCCACCCACACTGGCAACCACCCCCATGTGATACCTTCAATTTTAGCATCATCGGGAGCAGTAATGTAAGTGGAATCTCAGCAGTAGGAGGAGGATATTGGCTCCTTGTCACATCTAGTTAAGGGGAGCTAAGCAATGGGGGGAAGCAAGAGAAAATTTACTGGTTGGCTTGGGGCTTGCACCAGGGACTCAGGTATAATGGCAGGAGGCGTGTGGAGGTGAAGAGAAGTGAAGACACTTGGAAGAGACATGGTGAGCGACCTGTGGGGAGGCCGGCAAATTTAATTTGTGCTTCATTTGCTCTTTCCACCCCAGACTCGCCGGGCACCATCGGTCCCCTTCCTGTGGCTCCCCGCAGGTGCGTCAGCTTGCAGGAAGTTGTCAGGCCTCCTTTCTTCCCCTGCTGCGGCCAGCATTGTTGGGCTGGGTATTTAGCCATGAAGGAACGGGAAACTTTGGGTGTTTGGTTGGAAAATACTAGCATCTCTTCTCTCTTTTTACACACTAATTCTAATAAGGGTTTTTGTTCGTTTGTTTGTTTTCCTAGTAAAGGCCTTACACACTAAGAATATGTTTTGTCTTTATCCAGCAGATGGCAGAACCCATTTGCAAGTTTAGGAGACCTGTGTTCCCCCTTGCTTCACACCCCAACAGAACTTCTTATCAGCTCTTTTTTTGCCTTGAGCACATTGAGAACATGCTCCATACATTTTCACTAAAACACTTTTCTGGAAGTGTCTGAATGGCTCGTCACTCTTTCATTTCACTGAGGTCAACTGTAAATTCCAGAGAAATTTCCTGACAACGATTTCTGAAATAAACTAAACACCATTTTAGCCAATTGTGCTGTTTGTTCACAATCTTTTACCCAGTGATAGCCTCTCACAGATAGGTCATCTATTTTTTTTAACATAAATGAAGCCAATCTGTGTGTGTCAGCACACACACACACACACCAATGCCTGACTACCCCTTCAAAAATTTTAGTTGAATCATCCTTTTCTCCCTCCATCATTATTTAATTTTGGTAAACTCACAACTCTTTTGAATATTAGCACAGACCTTCACTTTGCCTGAACTTAGCAATTCAACATTGTAAAAATAGACATATGTACATTGTGTTTTTGTGTGTCTAGTGGGTATATGAAACTTGCATCAGATAGATTACAACTTTAGTTATTTGAAGAATTATAGTCTTTGTCCTACAAATGAAGTCAGTCAGAAAGAAAAAAGTGTGGCTCAAGAAATAAGCCAAATACCATCCATCCTAAATCTTTTCCAGGTATTTAGAGAAGAGGAAAAATCTAGTTAGGAAACTTGTCTGTATCTCTGTGATGAAATTTTCTACCCTCACCCTCCTGCCTTATTAAAATGCAAATTTAAAGAGCAATTTCTTATAGGAAGGAATTAGTAAAAGGAAAGTATTATTTAGAAATTCAGTAACTGAAAATCCTCAATTTCTCTTAAATATCGATAAAATGACTACTTCTTAGAAGTAACACACAGGTGGGTAATATTCTAAATAAAAACTAAGAGATCTCGGTCTTTGTCTATGTATTTTTCTGTGTCCCCTTTTGTATTTTACTTTTACCCCCAAATAGTAACATTAGAATTAATTCTACATAGTTGGTTCATATAAATTATAAACTCTATAATATAATAGAAACTAAACCAGCTGTTTTTAGAGAAGTCACAGTCAGATAACTATTAGCCAGGCTCAAAAACCTTTGTCTAGCATTCCACTCGACGTGTGCCAGGCCAAACTCCTTGGATAGCTTTCACCTGTCCGTGATGTAGTCCACCTGTTCAAACAGGACTTAGCACAACTCATCGGCTCAGCTTCTTTTGCCTAGGCTGTCTCACCCCCTCCCCATGCTGAGAGAGGTTAAGCCCTTAATCTTATGGGGGCTGGGGGCCAACATTCTATTCTCCTCCGGGGTAGCTTCGTTGCTGGGTAGGGCCGTTGCCCCTAAATCCTGCAGGAGTAGAAATCTCGCACTACCTGTTTTAGCAAGCACTGCGTGCTAAACCGACGGGGCTGGCTGTTGCCCTAAGCCGGGGTGGGATGGAACCCTTGTGTCAACATCAGCACAACGCAAAACGGTTGTCATCGGAAGCTGTAAACTCTGTCGAGAGGTTGAACAGATAGTTCAACCCCTGATGTGGGACAACAAAGTCCACATTTCATTCGCCTGAGACTGGAGACCAGTTCGAATGCTGAGAAACCACACTTGGCAGCCAAGTTATGTCACTGAGGTAGACGAAGTTCTCTATCTTTAGAAAATGACAATTCAATATCCAACTAATTCAAGTCAAAAGACTGAGAAAGAAACAAGAAATACTACTTTGAAATATCATAGCCAGACTTAAAAGAAAATTGAGATCCTATCCAAATCACAAACATCAAAAATTAAAGAACAAGAGGGCCCTCCCTGGTGGAGCAACGGGTTAAAGCACGGCATTACTAAACTCTCCGAAGCCCCTGCAGCACCAGTTCGATCCCTGGCCAAGGAGCTGACCCACAGGGCGCAGCTGACCTCCTCTGCCCGCTGCTCCCCTCAGCAGCCAGTGTACTTTGTCGATCTGCCTGTTCTGCGCCCCCCATTCTGCCCCCGGAGAATCCTCTCACCACCCCTGCACCTCTGGCCTGTACCCCAGTTCTGTAAGCATAAATAAATAAATCTTTAAAAAAAAGTCTTGTATGTTTTGTCTTGATGCAGCAGATGGCAATACCTATTTAGAACAGACAGGTTTGGGGGTTCTGGGGTGCTCTCTCTCCCTGTCCTGTAATAATTTGATTGCCCACATTATATTACTGAGCTCAGATGGAGCCTTCATAAAATTGAATGGGAG